TTGGTTCAGTATGATATTCTTTGGGCGAAGCTGTTGGCGAGTGGTGTCCCGAATGACATTGTCAATGTGTTTAAATACTGGTATGGACATCAGACTAACCGAGTCAGATGACTTGGACAGTTTTCTGATGAGTTTAAGCTTAAATGTGGGGTGAGACAAGGTGGTTTGACCTCTCCCACACTATTTAATTGCTATATTGATCAGCTGATTCGTGGGCTCAGCAGCATGCGTGTCGGATGCTCTATAGACGGTCTTTGTGTCAATAGTATAAGTTATGCCGACGACATGGTGCTGCTGAGTCCATCAGTCGCTGCTCTCAGAAGACTTATGAGCATTTGTGAGCGTTTTGCTGAGTCTCACGGTCTTCTTTACAATGTAAAAAAGAGCGAGTTTGTGGTATTTAAGGCAGACAGTCGCAAAGCTCTTAATGTTCTGCCAGTGTACCTAAACGGAGTAGCTCTACATCGCGTATCGTCCTTCAAGTATCTCGGTCACATTGTGAACGAGAGGCTGAGGGATGACTGTGATATGGAGAGGGAAAGGAGAGCGTTGGCAGTTCGCTGCAATATGTTAGCCCGCAGATTTTCACGATGTACCACAGAAGTTAAAATAACATTGTTTAAAGCCTTCTGCCAAACAATGTACACGTGTAATCTGTGGGTTGATTATACGCGGGGGGCTTTCAGCGCACTCCGAGTACAGTATAATAATGCCTTCAGGGTGATGTTGGGTCTGCCGCGATTTTGCAGCGCATCGGGCATGTATGCGCAAGCGCGCACTGATAGCTTCGAAACGGTATTGCACAAACGTGTCGCCTCGCTCATGCGCAGAATACGTAGTAGCTCCAACACCATACTGAGGGCTATTAGTGGCAAACCAGATTGTCCTATTATGGGACACTGGGTGAATATGCATGTGCATAAACCTAGTGCCTCAGGTAGGCCTGGGTTGTACTTAAACTAATTATTCGTGTCTGCACTTAATTATTACTAACATAGATATAACTTCCTTGTACCTACTAACAATTATGGATGTTTGTCCGAAATAAAGAGATTTTATTTATTTATATATTTATTTTATTAAAATAAAGTTAAGGTATTCCTATATTATAATTAATAATTTCTAACCGAACTTTGCTCGGCGTTAGAAGAATTTATAAGATTTAAATTTATGTTTATTTAAAGTATTGGATTTTATAAACATACATTTTCTATAGCGTCGACATCGTATCTAAAATATAGTAACATTTTCGTCCAACAAGTGAATATGAACATCGCCCTGGAATTCTGTTGATATTGCCATATAATATTATACGATGGCGGAACGAAAAAGTTAGTGTCAATATTAATATGTGAAGAGAAAACTTTGTACCCCTTTTATAAGCATATTGTGCACATGGAGGAGTGTGAGATTTAATATATATATTTAATATATTAAAGACTATATGGAGAAGAAGTGCAGAAAGCTAAAATTAATAGTAAATTGAAGTTACAAATGCATTAAATTAGAATACATTGAACATACTCTACTATTTATATACATTGAACATACTCTACTATATATTACATTACACACTACACACTACATTGCTCTACATACATTCAAAGTGGCCATTTCGGGGCTATTTCTTTTATTTGTAGGCTCATGGTGCGAACTAAGAGGTGGTAGATTTTACACCACTACCATACGGCAAGGAGCTGAGTCTATCCCTTCGGCTTTGTCGCTCGTTTAGCACCACCCGGAAGACACGTGTAGGTGGGCCTAGGGTTAGGTGGTCAAAGCCTACGGACGCGAGTGACTCATCCTCCTAAAGTAAATAACAAAATATAAAAGAAAAATAACGGGATGAAATAATAAATTCTTATACTTATTTACACGATTGGTCACAAAATTGCAATGGATGCTTCTTCTATTAAATTATGGCTTCTCATACTCATGCATATACGTGGTAGAGCAATGCTGCATAGTTGTAGCACGAATGTGTCGGCTCGACCGGGGAAGGACCACACAGAATACCAGCGTAAAATAGCAGCTTAGCACTGCTGTGTTTCATATGGTGAGAGAGTGTGAGTGTAGAGAACCGGAGACCCGTTTTACCGGAAAAGAGGCATTCCATCTTAGTCCTCACGGGTGACAACGCATCTCCATTTTGATTCGCAAGCGAGAATAGATGTAGATGTCTACGGGCCACAGCAACCACTTACCATCAGGTGGACTGTGTGCTCGTTTGTCACCTTATCCTGTAAAAAAAATACATTCTCATGCATTGTTTACGATCATACTGTCAATGTCACACATAAATATCGCTTGGAGAAATTATGTTGTTTGTTGACCAATGTGTTATAGTAAGTAATACCAAAGATTATATTATTATCACTAGGTTTAAGGCCAATAAAGGCAAAACAACGTTTAATTTTCTCTGTGTTTTATAAAATAATTAGCAATTGAAAGTAAAATACAGCTTGCTAAACTTACAAACCTTAAATATTATTAAATTACTGTCGAATTTCGACCACTGGTCTAAACAAATTTACTAAAGTGTTTTCGTCGTGTAGTGATAAGAACGTAACTAACGTCAAATTAATGTAATTTATAATTATATATATATATATAGTGATCGAATTATAGCCATTATTATGGCATTAATGTCAAACTTTACCAACTAGAACATTGATACTAATTGAATTTGTAACCAATTCATCCTTTTTTACTCAGGAGCCTAAGCTAAACTATTATAGAAATCATCCATTAATTTAATTAATAAGAGCAAGATTCGCTACTTAAAAAGAGCAACGGATTGATATTTTTTTTTTCATAATAATAATTAAGTAAAATGAGAGCAGTGGTGGCAACGTTGTAGCTATATTATAGTATTAGAACGAATAGGTCGACCGGAGCATGACCCCGCTTTCAAAGAATACCAGCGGAAAATTGCGGCAATAAAATGCTCTATATAATGATAAGCATCAAAATGCTGCTGTGTTTCAGATGGAGAGTGTAGAAAGTGAAAAACACATTTTCAGTAGAATCGAGACATTCCATCTTAAGCCTCAGGGATGACAACGGATCTGCATTTAGATTCTCAACCGAGTATAGATTTAGAGGTTTATGGGCCAAAGAATCCACTTACCGTCAGATGAACTGAGATCTCGTTTGTTATCCTTATTTTATAAAAAACGAAAAAGGAAATTACGTACCTGTACCGGTATCAGACAAAGAACTAAATCGCTGGTAAAGGAAAATTTAAAAACATATAACATTAATAAATGTTGAAATTTAATACAGTGAATACATACATATTCTTAATTCTTAAGGCATATGCGCTATGTGAGGCGAAGTAAATTAATATCCTACCACAGCGATTACTCCTCACCGTCGCTACGTGGATGTTATTACTGATATTAATTATTTTAAAACGAAATTGAGATTGGAAATTTAATTTTTAACATGCATTCATGTCACATAAAAGTTCATTGGCGGATATGGAACATCTCTCATTATCGGGATGATTTGATCATATATGTCATATTGGAACAAACTTCGAAAACTAGGAATGGTTAATAAATCACTATAATATGGTATATGGTGATCATTTTATAGTAGAAAGGAGACAAAATAACTAACAATGCACTTGATGGTAAGTAGCTACCGCAGTTAATGTACATGTACAGCCAACTTCAACCAAATACGCTATAAATGCGTTGTCACATCTAAGACCAAGACGTAATGCCTCACAGCCTATTATTTGTGTTATTGTTGTTATTGGATCCCTATAACATTCGGACTGGGACACACCGGTGCACGCACTGCTGCTTGGTGGCAAGTAGGTAAGATAAGAAGATGGTATGTACCAAGACCGACTCGTAGGCAGAAGAAGAGTCCTACCACCTAGTGTAATTGACGTACGCATACTGTTAATCGATTAGTGATACAGATGCTGGCAGAATAACAGCTTCATAGTATCTTTGTAAAACTTTTGCTTAGTCATCAGAACCTTTGCTCGTCTGAACTTCCATAGTGATTTTGTATTATATTAGCACACCTCGAATGCGAAACGGAGGGTTGAGCTTTTGTCGACTTATCAAGATCGGCCGATACGCTCATATTAGGTCGATTTATTATTTTATACCACACTAATATTAGTAGTCATTTGAAAAACATAACATAAAAACTATTCTTACATTGTATAGCCATGCTGCAGCTATATCATTGTTTTAGCACAAATGGGTCTGCTCGACCGAAGAAGGAACACGCTCTCACAGAATACCATCGTGAAGTAGCTCGTATGGTGAGTGTAAAGAACCGGAGGAGACCCTTTTTACTAGAAACGAGGCCTCAGTTGTAACAAGTCTTCTGCACTTTGGTTCTTAATTAAAGATAGATGTCTATAAACCACAGCAACCACTTATCATGAGGTGCAATGTGTGCTTCTTTGTCACCCTTATTCTATAAACAGTTGTAAAAGACCACTTAACAAGAATATACATGGATATTTGGCAATCTCATAGAATAATACTTTATCCTAAATAACACTAAAGTATAGAGTAATGGAGAATAACAAGAAACGAACTACCATAAACAACGGCACATTTGCCTCATGATTGCAAACAATAAAATAAAAGGCGTATTGTACACGACAATCCTTTTACCGAGTTAGGGCGGATTCGACCAAACTTAGTATAAGTCTTATCCTGAGAATAAAATCACTAATTACTCTCGAGTTAGAGAACTTTCGTTTTACCAAATCTTAACCCAGGTATAACTGGTTATCCGAGAGTAAATTGCTATACCGGCAAAATTTGTCGAGTAAACAATTTATCCCAGTGTATTTTAATGGCGGCCGCTACATTATAACAGCTGTTTTTGTGTGCTCTGTTGAAAAAGTAGGATATTTTATCGTTGTGCATTTATATAATTTAGTAAAAAGTAAGGTATTTTATCGTTGTGTATTTACTATTTCTTGTATTTTTGTGATAATTGTAGGGATATTTTTTTAAATAATGCAACGTTTACGAAATATGATCGAAGATTCAGACAGTGATGAAGAATACATTCCAAGGCGTCCACGATGGATTAGAGAAAGGAACAATTACTTCGATAACTATGACGACCGTGACTTTGCAATAAGGTTTCGATTGTCCAAAGAAGCTACTTTGTGTCTTTTATCCAAAATCGAGCATCACCTGGAATATTCATCAAACCGGTATGTACCCACCTATACCTAGATATATTTTTTCGAAAAACTATGCTCAAAGATTTAAAACTAAAATATATTCTATAGTAGTAGTTGTACCTATGTTACATAAAGTTCCTTTTCTTTCAGAAATTTCTCAATATCTCCAGTAAATCAGTTGTTGGCCACTTTGAGATATTATGCAACAAACTGGACACAAACAAGCATTGGAGATTACTGTGGTTTAAGTACGCCGACAGCAAATAAAATTGTACACAGAGTTAGTGCTGCAATTGCTGCATTGCATACAGAGTACATAAAATTTCCTGAATCAACTCAAGAAATAAGACACGAACAAGATAAATTTTACCAAATTGCTCGTTTTCCAAGAGTAGTTGGAGCAATGGACTGTACACACATTCGCCTCACATTCGTACCCTTAAGACTCGAAGTAGGTGGAGAACAAGCAGAGACATTTAGAAACCGAAAAGGATACTACTCTATTAATGTGCAAACTATATGCAATGCCAATTTAGAAATAACCGACATAGTCGCAAGATGGCCAGGTTCAACTCATGACAGCACTATATTTAATAACAGCGTGCGGAAAGCACATTTTGAGACTGGTCACTATGGCAATGCGTTATTATTGGTAGACAGAGGATATGCTGCAAAGAATTATACCATGACTCCGTTAGAAAATCCAAGGACACCAGCTGAGCAACTGTACAATGAATCACAAATTCGTACCAGGAATGCTATAGAAAGGACCTATGGAGTATGGAAAAGACGATTCCCAGTATTGGCACTTGGCATGCGAGTAAAATTAGAAAAAGCACTAACTATTATCATAGCCACAGCTGTCCTTCACAATATGTTACGCAGGCAAGGGGAACAACTTCCACCTGATGACCCAGAAGTGCTATTACCAGCTCCATGGGATGAACTGTTACAACTTGGCCAAATGCAGAGCTTGGAATCAGCACAGCATTCTACTGGCCAGTTAGCACGCAATTCGTTAATAAGTAATTATTTTTATAGTTTATTGTAGCTATGGAATCTAGCCAGTTGATCGCTGTGATTCCAAATCTAATTTTATATTATACAAATTATAAAAAAAGAAAAGTAGTATAAAATAAAAGTTGAAATAAATAAGTCTAATATTTTATTGGTCTTTTCGCAATTGCTTTTTCTTTAATCTTAAATCTAATAATAAAATACGGGTCTTTAATTTTTCTTGTTTCAATTGCTCCCATTTTATTTGTAAGTCCAGATCGTTAACTGCGTTTAAATGTAGTGATTCCTTCTCAGCAACACTCTTCTGGAGATCAATTGCTTCAATTTTCTTCTCATGCAACTTTTGCAGTGATGATGTTGAAACTACATATGTCGGTCGCCTTCTTGAAGACCAAGATTTTTTTAATTTTCCTTCTTGCTCATTAGTATCGTATTGAAGTGGTGTAGCAACAGGAGTTCTTAACATTTTAGGAGTATAATCACTCCAATCCTAAAACAAAGAATAAAAATGTAAATAATATAATGCCAATATTATATTTTATCACACAGTAGTAGAGCGAAACTGCAGCTTCTGCTGTTGCATGGATGGGCCGGCTCGAACCATATAACTACCATGACTTTACAGAATACCAGCTTGAAGTAGAAGCTTTGCTTCTGCGTAGGGCTTGGTTAGTGCAGGAGGCCAGAGGGCCAATCCGTTTTAAAAGGCCCACAATGCATCTGCAATTCCTCTGGTATTGCAGTTGTTCATGGGCAACGCTTACCATCAGGTGAGTTACATGCTTGTATGCCCCCTATTAAATAAAAAAAATTCTACATCTATCTTCGTTTGCAAATTAAAATGTAGATGCATTGTCAGCCGTGAGGACTACGATAGAATGCCTCCTTTCCAGTAAAAAAGGTCTCCGATTCTCTACACTCACCATACGAAAAACAGCAGCATTAAGCTGCTATTTTACGCTGGTATTCTGTGAGAGTGTAGTCCTTCCCCGGTCGAGCCGACCCATTCGTGCTACAACTATACTATTAATATAGCTGCAGCATGGCTCTACCACGTACACATAGTAGTAGAGTTATAAAACTTATGTTTATATTTACTATATACTATAATTTACTTCAGGTAAAGGTATAGGGCTACAGATATTATTAATGTGTTATGATTTTACCTGCATTTCTACTTCATTCAAGTCAATCCCAGTCTTTTGAATCTCATCAGTGTCAGTTTCAAGATCTGTAACCAAATATTAATGTTTTTTAAGAAGAACAAGATTAAAGTCATAACAATTTTGTTTAGTTTCTCTAGGATGCTTAACTAAACTGCAAGATACTAACCTTTACTACATAATTCTGGCTCCTCAGATAAAATAACTTGAACCTCAGAAAAATTATGGCTTTCTAAGCTTTCTGGGGCAACGCTATCACTGTCAAAACGGTTAAAAAGCCCAACAGCACTTGTTTTATCAAAGATAATATTTTTGAATCAAGAGGATCTTCTTTTTTGGGATTTGCTGGTCCTCCACCTAAAAATAGTACAAAATGATTAAAGTAAAAGTATTTAAAGTATGTCATCTCAGTAGTGTTGGTTCTAAAAATATTTCAACTAAAATAATCCGAAAATAGAGGAGACCAAGAAAATAAATCACTTCATCAGGACACATCATTTTACTACCAAGTATTTAATAATAATGATACATGACCTAAAGATCTTTGCGATAAGCATGTTTCCAGTAGTGACTAACAATATATAAATGTATGTAGGCATGGCTCAGTCTGTTGCTCCCCCAGTTACAAGATCATCTTTCTAATGTATACCGAATTTCTTTTGAAATTATAGGTTTTTGCCTAGTTATATAAATAACTGGATCAACACGAATAATGATAACGTAAGGTATGATAAAAACTAACCTGTTTGGATTCTATGCATCCTCTTGTATGACTCTTCCTTTTTGGCCTTTTTTTTTCATATATTCTCACTCATTTTTTAAATTTTCTGCTGTACGCGAGCAGTGTGTCGTTTGACTATTATATTCGTGGGATATAATTTGCCATTCGGACAATTTTTGCTTCATCGTAACCCCGTCTGTTTTCTTGTTTTCAATGACACGAAAATGTTTTTCTACTAATTCTAACAATAAATTTTTTTCTGAAGATAACCAATTTGGGCTACGTTTTCTTTTTTCTGCAGACATTTTATTTCAAAAGGTAAGAATAAGAAATTAAGAAATCAACTGACAACTCGACTCGTGTTAATATTCTAGTGTTCACTGTTCAGTGACAGTTGACACTATTATAATCCGGCAAAACTAAGTGGACAGAACATCTTGCATTGCGCTATATAAACCATTGTATTTCGATTTTAGTTGGCTTACATGTTCATTCATTTTTCATTCACCAACTCTAGAGTAACAATACCCAGTATTAGCTACTCTACGTTTGTGTTGGAAAAACGCAAACGAAGTTATCCGAGAGTAAGAGCAAAGAGTAAAATTATTCGAGGGTTAGTTACTCTGGAGTAACACGGCATTTGGTCGAATCCACCCTTAGAAGCATAGCCGCCATTCCGCTTGATTGGATCGATCGACATTATACTGATATTTGCTCTGCAACGCACTTCAGCCAACGGCTGCTCTATACAAACATTTATTATACTTTTACATTTGTTTAGTATGATTATGTATCAATGTTTTTCTCTTTATTCGAATTTATTATGCTGTTTACGTTTTATGATATATGATTATGACATAATAAGGCTGACATACCCTTCTGAGGTAAACGTAAAATAATAAAAAAGATCATTTTTTAGTTAGTTAACGCCAAATTGACGAATTGAAGTTTTTCTGCGACACTATAAGGATACGAGTTCAAATCATGCACGTAACAACTATTTGTATGGCTTAAAATGTTTCGGTTCTGGTTGTTTGTTCACAATCACTTTATATAAAACGCCTCCCACTATACAGGAGAAAAGTTAAATTTGACTGTTACTTTTAAAAAAGAATATAAAGGAATATTATAAAGAGAATAATAGTTAATCTTGAAACTGTAATGCATGACAAAACTTCCTTTTTCCCTTAACTGTAATAAAATAAGAAAACTTTTAAATACTACTCGATAGCAAAACGACTGCAAAGCGACTTTATATTTCGCGTACAGGAGGCTATTAGATATGCTTCATACCCTTAAATAGACAACTTACTCAGTTTATTTTAGAAAATAAACTCACGGTTAAAGGCTTTTTATCTATATCTTTATATATTTTCTTTATTAAGGTATTTAGGTTTTTGTTAAAAAGGTATTAGAGGTAGAGATGTAGAGCCAAGCTGCAGCTGTTTATAATGTTGTTGAACGAATGGGTCGGCTCGGCCAAGGTAGAACCATGATATCACAAAATATCAGCGTAAGATAGCGTGTTTCGTTTTGTGAAGTATAGAGAACAGGAGAACCTTTTTACTTGAAACGAGGCATTCCATCTCAGTCCTCAAAAATGACAACTCATCTTCATTTCATTTCTTTATTGAGGATAAATGTAGATGTCCACAGCATCCATTTACAATCAGGTGGACTGTGTGCTCGTTCGTCACCCTTATTCTATAAAAAAAACCGCACGCGCCTTACTTGTATTTTAATTAGATTTTATCACTGTTATCATGTCAAATGGTGTTACAATGCTAAAATAAAAAAAAATGGGAAGGGCGCGCATCTGATAAAATTTATCAAAAATACAATTAAGTGTAGTTTTAAATTAGACGATCTAAAATAATGTAGAAATTTCAAATCATCACAGAAATGTTGCCCGAGATCAATGAACAATAAATAGAGAGTAAAAATAGTGGTTGTAAATAGAAACCGAAACCGCAAATTTGAAGCGCCGTTTATCTAATGCGCTGCAGACCGTCAAATTTTTTAAAATGTATATAAAATTTGAAACCTGTCAGGTTATGAAATATATTAGAACTATTAATAAAGTAATGTTGCCCACCACCACCGGAAGTTTGACTTCACAAGGAAAGTTAGCTATTGTATAGATAAAACGAGCACACAGTCCACATAATAGTTAGTGGATACTGTGGCCCATAGACATCTACAATTATCATCGGTTAGGATTAGGAGTCAAAATGCAGATGCGTTTTCACCCCTGAGGACTAAGTTTAAAGGCCTCGTTTCGAGTGATAAAATCTTTATATTCACCGAATGAAGCACAACAGAATTACGTTGCTAGTTTACGATTTTAGCGTGATCCTTCCCCGGTCCAGCCCACTCATTCATGCTACAGTCATAATATAGCTGCAGCGTGGCTCAAAATATAGCTCGAAGTGTGTCGATAAAAACCAATAGTTCATATTTCCTATCAAATAATTAATATCTTCTTTGGTCGGATTTATACATCTTATTTCAACTGTGCTAATTGTTTACCATTAAAAAAACAGTTACCTATTTACCGTAACGATTCGATGTGCATGATTGATGAGATGGCTGTAAGTAATTTCGGGTGGCTATTTGTTACAAGAGGGCCAATATTTATGCCTTACTGTTTATTAGCGATATATAGTGTCATTAGTAATTAGTGATTTATTTACTAGAAAAATTCAGTTTTGATTCTAATATTTTTGTATTGTTTTATGGTTATGAATAAATGTAATTAAATATGTATAAGTCCGCTGCTATACGTGATCCCCTTCCATCTTATAGAAGGGTTTCGTCAATATGTTTATATACTTCAGATTTTATAACACTGTATTTTTAGATTGGTCTTATCACCATTTTTCAAGAGAGAAGAAAGGAATGTTAGGAAGGGAAAATGCATTGGATACCCTGACCTGTAAGGATTTTTTTCTGATTCAGTTGTATCAGCCAGGGTTTGCATACCTGGATATCATATATATCCAGACATGATCACTTGATTAAGAATAAGCTTAGGTCCTTTATTATTATTTATTATTTTTATTTATACTCTATATTGCACACAAAATACTACACAACACAGCAAACTTAAATTTATAAATGTATGTACAATTAGGTGGCCTTATTGCTAAA